CTGTCAGTCCTTCAATGGTAGTTATCTTTTCCTTGCTGTCATCGTCATCAACAAGCTCAACTGTTCTCCCACATTTGTTTTACTCAAATCTGTTTTACGGCTGATCGTATCAAACATAACAATCTTTTTTTTCCCACTATACTCGAATTATGCATCTTTATTTCGTTTCCTGTCTCTTTTCTTTATGTTTCGGACCATAGATGTTTTTCCTGTTTTTTTCTTTCCCACATGATCTTCACCTGCAATGTTGTCTTTCTAATATTTCTGAGTTATAAAATGAACAGATAATTCATTGATTTGATCAATCAACTCAGCGTTCTCCTTTTCTAGATTTTGTATTGTATCCTTGCAACCTTGTATTTCTGCTTCAAAAGTTTGTTCCCTCTTTTTCAAATTTTTAACAACTTCTTTCAACTCATTTATAATCGTCTCTTTTTCTTGAATTTTCAATGTGAATGTAGAATGTTGTTTGTCAAACCCAACACCAGCATAAATAAAATGAGAATGCTGCAAATAACATTTGTCTGTGACAATGTTCCTTATAACAATTTTGTACACATCATTTTTTTTCAATATGTCTTGAAGCTTTTGGGTGTTTCTGTCTGTTTTTTCTCCTACAGCACCAACATTGTGCGTCACTTTGTTCATTGCAGCATCAATAAGAGATTCAAATGCCATATTTGAATGTTCATCACCTCTAATTACATCCTCCAAATCATCATCATGACCAAGAAATGTATCATTTTATGCCTGCTTATTCCCACCACACTCAAAAACTTCTTCATCCACCCGTGCATGTTCTGCCTCCTTTTCTGTCTGCTTATACCTGCTTCTTCTCCTTTTCTGCCTACTTATTTTTTCAACTTCACCACTTTCGACTTTTTCCTCAATTTTAGATTGGCCCACTTCTTCATTTTTGCTTCCCTTATATTTCAGAAAAACTTTATCTTTTGTTGTTCTACTCAATCTATGTCTCAAAACCTTTGTAATATTTTTAAAATATACAATTGTATGTATTAATTAACACAAGTGTAACATGCAAGTGTATCATTACATTGTGATATTTATGATGCAAGTGTATTATATGATAACATAAAAAAAAAGATATAACAATAATGTAAAATGAATATATTAATTTGAATTTGTTATATTTAACCAACTTACATATATTGACTTCAACTTTTCAAGTGTCCTTTGTTTCATTGCTCTTTGAAGTTCCGGCAGTTTTCATTTCAAAATCCTTGGTATTGCATTTGGATTATCAAACTTGACAATTGTTGTATGTTCACAAAGTCAATACTGCACATAAATACAAATTTAATTTAATCCAATGAGTTACATTATGTTTATTGGACAACAGGAAACAATATTGAAAATACAACCAGGCTGTTAACATCTTACCAGTAACAACATTACACATCCACTAACTCCAGATGGGCTGCTACTCTTTTTTTGAAATGAAGAGATAAGAGATTCATGTATTGCACTTGACCAATCATACTTCTTCATTTCATCTATATCTTCAACGTATAAAACAAATCTTCATCCTATAGCTGTCTCAGTGGTTGTAAAAAATAGTATAACCATTAAAAATAGGCATAGGAGTCTTGCAACGTCATGTTTGTTTGTACCTCTTGCTGCTTCAAGCAATCTATTCCTTATCAAAGTTGATGTCAACCTGCTATCTTTCTTGAATCTCCTTTTAACAAATTTTGTATTTTCCTTAGCATGAGATAAACAATCCATGAGATCGCGTCCATCATCAATGACAAAAATTATTTTCACATCACTCCTTCTCAATTTAATGTCCTTGCCACCAATGTAAAATTTAGATTTATTATCATTGAAGTACATAATTACATCATATATGATAGTATCGCTCTTCCTACACCATGTCCTGTCTAATTTTTTGTCAATGATGGATTCAAATAGTAACCAGAAATGGTGTTTTCCTCAAAACAACCTTGTGTGCTTCACTAATGTTAATTTCATATATTGCTCTAATTATCACAAGTAAATTCGATCTGTATTTAGCATCTTGCTTCAATTCCACGACTTGTTTTTTCCCCCATCACAGCTCTGAGGTGGAAAGTAACAAAGAAAAAATGTGTATAAAGTATACCAAAAGGTTAACTAAAAATATAACAATATAAAAAAAAATAGACAACCAAAAAAATAGTGTATAACACAGCCACATAACTGAATCAAATAACAATGTATGACACATTCAAAAAGTGAAGCAAAAACAATGTATAACACAGTCTAATCAGTGAAGCACAAAACAGAATATAACCAGTAATAGTGTCTCCTTTTTCCATGTCACATTGAAATTGTAAAGTATAAAGTGTGAAGTTTAAAGTGTAGTGTTACATGGTACACTAATGGATTGTTATTGAAAAATTTTGGGAGTGGTCCACTATTCTTTATTTTTTTGGTAAACTAGTATGATGTTACACTATTTTGGTAAATTTGTTACACTTCCATGTGTTACCATTCACATGTTACAGTTTGTATATTACACTGTGAAGTGAACACAATCCACATGTAATCTTAAAAATGTTTAATCACAGAGTATAAGAACAAACAATCATGTCACTAAACAACCCAGGCAATTAACATTCACGGCACACAAATCTTTTAAAATAACAACAAAAAATCAGTGTAAACTTAACAATATAACAACATAAAAACGTTTCAAAACAAGTGTAATAACAAAAGCGTATCATTAATTGTGTAACGAAATACAATTTTCCAAATAGTTTTAAATTATCAAACAATTAAAATAAGATTCAAATATATAAACTTAAACAAGAAAAAAAGTGTAATGTAACCCATTATGATAATACACAAAAAAAAACATATTCTTATTGAATAAGGAATAAACATTTTGTATTCCTGCACAATATATTATTATCCAACAAGAGCACCTTATAAACATAATATACTGTTTCGTGTCTAATTGTCTATTATTAAACACAGTATTGGTAAATTTGTCACATTTTTATATATGTTACACTTTATATATTTATATTATCATATTCACACATTCAATATTTATTATTAACACATAGTGTAATCAGAGATAATTACACACAAGAATAATAAACAAGTGTGTCACTTAACACTTCACAACACAACAAAGTTTAATAACCAAAGCAAAAAGATTAAGTGAAACAAAATAAAAGTGTTTCAAATAAAGTGTAACACCAAAAGTGTAACATGAATTGTATAATCCAACACAATACAAACACCAGTTACATTGTCTTGAAACAAACTCTTGTGTGCATATGTATTCAGTCAACCCAATTCACACATATATTCAAGTATTGAAAAAAAATAAAAGAGTTACAATATCCAACAATTCATGGTATAAACAATACATAATTTGACCAAAAAACAACAAAGATGAATATTAGAGGCCACTCAATATTCAAACAAAAAAAATAGGGTTTTAATACATGAAATTAACGACACAAAAAAATGAGAAGTGTAATGTAACCCATTATGATAAAACACAATTAAATAAACAGGGAATGAAAAATGGTATTGTACTAAATTTTTTGATTATGGGTGACCCATTATCATATTACACAATATATATACACACACACACACACATAAATATACAAACATATATTACCTCTTTCGACGATCAAAACAATCAACGAACACAGAATAAAACTCATTTCAAACCACAATCGAACAAATATCAAGAACAAGGAAGGCCGAAAAAACTCACTTCTATGAAAACTCTCTTCAATCGATCGTGGGTTTGTAACCTGAATGCTTATTGAATCGATGAACAATGGAGATTCAGCACCCTTTCTCTGATTAAACCAACAATGGGATGAGGAAGAAGATGAATCGCCTTCTTTGGTGAGGAAATGAAGACCGACGGTTTGGTGGGAAGGGAAGTAATGAACAGTCATTTTTTTTTGGAACACAAAGAGATACATTACAGTTTTTGAGGAAGTTGAAAAGATTTTGGATTAATGGAGCCTAAATTTGAGCAATTATGATAACTGTAATATTACATTTTTTAAGGAAATAAAAATAATAAAAAAGGGCATTTTAGTCTTTAGACCCAAGTACTGTACTTTTTTCAAAACGTTTTTAAATGTGGACTTTTTGACAAATAAGTCTAATTTGGTGTACCGACTTCCAAAGAATCCTTGGATTATTAAGCTACAATGTACAACCAACCACTTGATGGATTTGGCCAGCCCATAGCCATTTGGACTGCCAATACTGATTTGGGTCTGGAGGTTTTAGCGGTGGGTCGATTTAAGTATCCAAGGTGGAGGATTCGAGCTAATGGTTTTGGATTAGGGGAGATGGGCCACTAGAGTTGTGAGGAAAGAGGGTTTGCAATGTAGGTTTGCGATTTGAGTGGGCAATTCAAATCTATCTTGAATTTTTATAGGTGGTTCAGTGGTAAAGTATATATTCTTGTAAGAAAAAGGTCTTAGGTTCGATATTTTTTATACTCTCTAAGGGTCAATTACTCTTGTTTAAGAGAAAACATGTCCTTAAACTAATTTAAATTATGGTGGTCAGTCTCTGAGCTTGAGAAAATAATCGGAGCAAATTTAGACACCTTGTAAAAAAAAAAAACTCAAGTCTAACTTAAAATATTCATTTCTGATTTTTAATATTTGAGTGGAGTTTGAACAACAAAAAGTTCAATCCAATTTAAATTTGGATAAAATTGAGTCGGGCCCTCTACTTTCAAACTTATCCCGAATCCAATCTAAAAATTAATGAATTTTGGTTCGACACTAATTAACCCTAAACTCTAGTTTGAGTTGTGTAACTTGAGAGTTTTTTTTTTTTTTAGGGGAGAGGAGAAGGGAGACTTGAACATTTAACCTCAAGAAAGAAAAATAATTATAAAATAAAGAGTATAATTGAACCAAAAGTTGATTGATTGTGTAACCTGAAAGTAACTTCAAGATTTTATATTGAATTCAAATTTCAACCCAAACTATGTATAATATAAAATGGTGAAGAACAGGATACGGACAATGTATTGAATTGTTAAAATTGAAGGCTTTGTCTTTGGTCTAATGATATTTTTTACTTTGTAAAAGTTTTTTTTTTTTTTTGAGATCAAGGGTTTAAAGTCCCCAAACCTTCCCCCCTCCCCTCCCCTCCCCTCCCAAAAAAAGATGGTAAAAAAAAAAAAGTGTTGGAATTGAAGGTTTTCTATCTTAGGTTAAACTTAGGTCAATCTTTTAATTTATTTTATTTGCTCAAGTTATATACTCCTCTACGGGGAGTAAATCAATATTTTCTTGGGAGAAGAAAATGAAAGAAATACTCTTAAATGATCAAAAGTTGTTTGGATATTACTTTGTTCGATTAAATATAAAATTATATATATTACATTTTTAATATATTAAAAGGGTTATAGGTTGACTTTTTGTTTATTCCATAAAAATTTAACCTATTAAAGTTTACGAAATGAACAATAAAAGTAGACGGAAATGTTACATTATAAATTTTTTAATATATTGAGAGTATAATACAAAAAAATTAATTTTTAAAGATATAAAATAAAAATTTTAAAATTTTTAGTGTTCAAAGTGCAATTCATCCTAAACTAACTGTACACATCTCATCTGCTGGCTACTTCCCCAACTCCATATTTCCACACACAGAAGAATCACAAAGCTTGACAGGAAGAAGATGATCAGTCTCTTCTCTCACTACCCGATACCATCTTCTTCTTCTACTTCTCTCTCTTCCCTAAGAACCCTAAAACATCTCTCATTCTTAACGAAACCCAGAACAGCCGTTTATTTGAAAAGACCATTCACTGTGAACTCTCTGCTCTCTCCGGAACCTGACCCACTTCCACCCTCTGTTCAGACATTCTGGCAGTGGGTTTGTGACGAAAACATAGTCTCCCCCAAGTCACCAGTGAAGCCAGGGGTCGTACCAGAAGGTCTAGGATTGGTTGCTCAGAGAGACATAGCCAAAAATGAGGTCGTTTTGGAGATTCCCAAAAGGTTTTGGATCAATCCGGACACAGTCTTATCCTCGGAGATTGGGAATGTGTGTTCTGGGTTGAAGCCTTGGGTCTCAGTTGCTCTGTTTTTGATCAGAGAGAAGCTGAGGGACGACTCGCCGTGGCGACGCTACATTGATGTTCTTCCAGAGTACACGAATTCTACTATTTATTGGTGGGCCTGCCTTAAATTGCTTCTTTACTCTATAAACCTTTGTTGAACATGCTTATCACTTGGGTTATGTATTTCTTCTTTGTACTTCTACTGTTTTTGAGATGGGTTTGAAGTTTTTTGTGTTGATAAGTTTTGCTTGATGCTCTTCCAGTGCAGGTCAGAAGAGGAGCTCTCTGAAATTCAAGGTCAGTATATTTCTTCAATTGGGCTCCGAGTTGTATTAAAAGACCTAGAATTTTGACGGAGTTACTGGTATGCTTCATTAACAATTTAAACTTTCAGATGAGTGATGGTTGAACATATTATCAGGATAAGAGATCTTTTATGGAATCTCGCCTTTACCCTAATAATCAAAAGATTAGCACGTGTTTGACCTATAATCTGGTGTGTTGGTGAGGGTTCCTTGTAATGTAAACAACATCCTCTTTAGCATTTAAGTTTTTACACGACTTGGTGGTTTAAGAGATCCGACGTAAATATGGATCTAAGCATTTGTAATTTTGTAGATTGGTCAATAGAGGAAGGTTTACCTAAGGCAGGCCTTGTTCAATTTCTATCTAGATGACTTTGATGGCAAATTCATCCACTGCTTTCTTTCTTTTCCTTATGCTATAGACATAAATGAAGTCTTTGTGGCTCTTCCTCTTCATAATAATCTCTCGAGCTATGGAGTTTCTGAGGAGTGTCGGTATGTATTAGCATGAAGTGATCATCTCACAGATTTATACGTTTGATGGATCTTATGGTGATTTATCCACAGTAGCTTTCGAGTAGTCATTGATAATGACCTTTTAACATGCTGCTGGTCGACAGTTCTTCAAGTATGCTCATTAATGGGAATTGATGACGCACCATAAACGATGTTATGTGCTAAGATATGGTTATATTTAGGAAATCTTTTATTGGAAACATTCTCATGGGAGGATTGTTTTTGGGATAACAAATAATGTATTTAATATTTTTGGTGTACGATTACTATTCAATGCTCAATTGGGCATAACTTGGGAGTATAATGAACTAAGTTCTGCAGGTACCCAACTATTCAGCACAACATTGGGTGTGAAAGAATACGTGCAGAGTGAATTTCTAAAAGTGGAAGAAGAAATCCTACTTCCTAACCAGCAACTTTTCCCTTCTTCTATAACATTGGATGACTTTTTGTGGGCATTTGGGATACTCAGATCAAGGGCATTTTCTCGCCTTCGTGGTCAAAATCTCGTTTTGATCCCTCTGGCAGACTTGGTAAGGTCTTATATTCATTGACATTTGTTTTGGGACATTTGTCATTCAATTCCGGCGAGAATGAAAACAAAAGAAAAGAAACGGTAGAATTTCTTCAGTTACAAAAAATCCACCTGCTTCCCTGACACTCTGAACTGTATGGATGACAAGTATTGTCAATGTCAATACTTATGCTTGCTTCAACTAGTTCCTAAAACTACCTTACAGATCTAGCAATTTTTTCATATGTTACATGCACTAGTGCCTACTGCAGACAATGTTTGTTTGGGGGAACGGGCACTGAACATCCTATCATGAAAGATAGAGCTGAGAATCACAATAGTTGATATATGTAATTTCCCATTCAAAGATATATCGCAATGTGCAGAATTAAGCTGTACAACAAATTCTAATTTACACGGTATACAAGCAAAGAAATTTTACTTATTGTGTGAAAAAAAATGGAAAAGTGAATTGGGCTTCAGTCAAGAAACAGATTCTGTTTTCATCTTATAAGCACATTTCTGATCTGTCCTTTGCTGCAAGATATTGGCTCGAAAAGGTTTCCATGAAAACTAGTATTTGACAATAGTAGTTGGCCTATATAAGCAGGCTGGGTTGAATGTCACTTAGGGAATTAATGTCAATCTAAAACTTTGCTATTTTTTTTGTGATTTTAGATCGTTCAACTTCCTTCAGCTTTAAATTTTACTATGTGCAAACCCCAATTTCTGGATTAGTTAGAGTATTTACTCTGTGAACTTGATTTCCGGATCAGATCAACCACAGCCCCAGCATAACCACAGAAGATTATGCATATGAGATTAAAGGAGCTGGTCTTTTCTCTAGGGATCTCTTGTTTTCTTTACGGAGCCCAGTATATGTCAAGGCTGGTGAACAGGTAAAATTTGTTTGGTCCATCCTGAAGTTGCTTTTTTTCCTCATTTCAGTGCTTTACTTGAACATCTTCTACCAAAATTTTGACATATTAATGTGAAAAGGTTATAATGACGTGGAATCACTGGCGTCTCATCAATCTGAAAAAATGTCTCTGGCCCATTGGACATAGACATCAACTTGTGAACCACTAATACTAGAAAAAAAAAATTAAAATGCCCCAAAAAATATTACTGCACAATCAGAATAGAAGAACAAGTCTTAATTTGTATAATATAACATCTTTTTGGAGTATTACATTTGTGGTGTCAGATATTGTCAAACTTAAAACTAATGAAATGAAAATTTCTATCTCATGAACATCACTAAATTAGCTTGTTAGGCTCCAAAGGTTGATAGAAAAGGCCTTCAAATCAAGTAACTTAGTTGAATCCGATAAAACAATATTCTTATGTGGTAGCATTGGAATTCTAACAGGCTTTAATCCAATATGATTTAAACAAGAGCAATGCTGAGTTGGCTCTGGATTATGGATTCATAGAACCAAGGGCAGATCGTAATGCATATACATTAACATTAGAGATATCTGAGTCTGATCCATATTTCGGAGACAAGCTGGACATTGCAGAGTCAAATGGTCTGGGAGAAACTGCCTATTTTGAAATAATACTAGGCTGCCCTCTTCCACCAGCAATGCTTCCATATCTGCGGCTGGTAGCGCTTGGTGGGACCGATGCTTTCCTCCTGGAATCCATTTTCAGAAACTCTATTTGGGGCCACGTTGAATTGCCAGTTAGCCGTGCCAATGAGGAGCTTATATGCCACGTCATCCGCAATGCCTGCAAAACTGCTCTTTCTGGATATCACACAACCATTGAAGAGGTAAATTTTATCCTTTGTATGTATAGATACTAAGAGTTAATTTTCTTTAATGTCATCTCTGCCTGCTGTGACATAAAAGTAGAGATTTGTTAAATGAATCCTGCCTCGAAGATATCATATTTCAGAATGAATTAAGCTAGAGATGGCAACATGAATTTTATATGGACCTGAAGAATCAAAATGACTGACGATTACGCTCACCTAACTGACATGATTTAGGCTACATAATTTTCTTGGTGGAACCCCAGATGGTCCAATTCCTTCGTTCTTTGTCGCTATCTTACAAGTGCACTATTATCATAATTATAATATGCTTGATTTGCTTTCTTTCTGATATTTAAATCAGAAGGATTCTTCTGGTACTCAAGGAAACAATAGTAACTGAATGAAAAGGTGGATTGTAGGATGAGAAGTTGAAGGAAGGTGGAAATCTTGATCCAAGGCTTGAGATAGCGGTGGGGATACGAGCAGGGGAGAAGAAGGTACTGCAACAAATTGATGGAATCTTCAAGGAGAGGGAACTGGAACTGGACGAATTGGAATATTACCAAGAAAGGAGGCTTAAGGATCTTGGTCTGGTTGGGGAGCAAGGTGAAATAATTTTCTGGGAGCCCAAGTAGTATATTACTGAATTCCACATGTTTCTATCAATGTGGTATGGGAGGCAATTTCATCACATGTTACTGGAACAAGGAGTGGAGACAAGAGAACAGCTCATAAGCATCCTTCACCCTTTCAAGGAGGTTCCTATCTCCATTCTTCCACAAATTGTACCAGGTTGAGCTTCTATTCTAATGTAACAATGTATGTCACAGCTAGTAACTCGTGTGATTATGAGCAATTTTGAATTCTCATGACATGGCAATCTTCAGATAATTCCTTCTTTCGTATTGTTGTTCGTTTGCTGAAAAGGTTTTTTTGTGATATGTGCTTCTCCCTCCTCTCGTTCTTTGTTTCATGGGGGGAAATTTACCACACTGGACGCAGTCATGGGAGCGCTACCTCGCTGACATAATTTCTCAATGCATTACTCAAGAATACTCTCGTGGAGAATCATGAACAACTAACCCCAGCTGATGGCTGCAGGTTTAACTCTGCTAATTCCAACGACAATCCAGCTCTCCTAATCCAATTCTAATGGTTGGCATTTTAACTAGGTTGAGAATTTGAAAACGGCAATAACTACGGATGTCAGATTGATTCAGGTGCTTTTCAACAAGGTCCAGGGCTCTGCAGGGTGCATTTCCTCATTCTTTTTCTTATTTTGGCTTGGGAAGGCAGAGGTTCAACTTCATCGGGTTGAAATGTGATTGTGCAACCCATCTTTGTCTGCGTTTTTTTTTTTCAAGACCATATTGTACTCACCCTGGTGAATAGACCCCGATACGTCTGCTTTGCAATGTCGTATAGAAGTGCTAAAGACAGTTACATGGTTAATACTTTATGATTTTAGAACTATTGCATCAATTATTTTGCATATTAAAACTTTTCATTGTATAAGGAGAGGAACATCCTTATGGATGACTCTACAATCATGTGGCAGTACCTTGCACACTTCAACCAACAGAAGAAAGCACTTAAGATATGAAAAAATTGAATTAACACATCGCTGAACACTCTAAAAGGGAACTTCCACTTTTTCTTTTCTGTACTTTTTTTTTTTTTATCCTGTCATTTCTCACAAAGGTCGTCAGGCATGAACAATACATCTTTAGACGCCCGGGTATAACTTCAGGCGATCTTTCTGCTGTCGCCTACAAAGCTCTTTAGGCATGTCTACAGAGCCATTTCCAACCATCCTAATCATGCAGGGTCGTCTTTCGTTTCGCCACAGTATCTGTGCAGTGGAACACGATGTCTAGCTAAGAACTAGATCTGAATGTGCCTCACTGGAGTTCAGTAGAATTACCAGGGCCCAATAAATCATCACAACTTGTTCTCTCACAAAGGCACTCTTGAGGATTCGCATAGAAATAATCTTCTTCTTTGGGCTTGTCAGCAGTAACTCTCCGACGACCTGGCTGTCCCATCCTCCGCTCATGTGCCAACTGGACAGCGGCTGCAAACTCATCCCATAAAAGTGTCCCGTTCTGATTCAAATCTAGCAATTCCACAAGCCTTTTCCGATCTAATTGGATGGTTTTTTTAAACCCAAGATACCTGCACAAGATCTAATCAGGGATGTCTTCAAAATATTTACTTTCTTTTTTGTATTTGCCTTAAAACCCAAAACAAAAAAGGAATATTCCTAAAAAGTTGACCAGGAGTACCTGCGGTGACCCTCCACAAGTTTTGCCATGTTCCCATCATAAGTAGGGACGAAGATATTACTTGCAGTTGATACCATGAAATCCAGGGCAGCCATTTGAGATGAATGATTCTGGAACTGCCGCAAATCCTCGGGATCCAGCAGCATTTCCTTTTTCACCTGAAATGTTAATTTTGATGAATTTTAGAAGAGCTACACAAAAATAAGCGAATGCAAGCCAACCATTTCCAGCCAAGTGAGGATAATAACCCTGCTTAATCAACTAAAAATGCATACTCCAGACTCGAGTCTAGCCAATAATGGGCCCTGGTATGGTGGATTGGTGGAATAAGGATCCAAATGATCCTAACCATTTCTAATTGAATGTATTCGTCGCTCACTTTGCGACTATCCAAAGTCCAAACATATTTAGTCAGACAGTTTAACACAAACCATTAATTCTTTTACAAACAAGGCCCATCAACAGGCATCCTCTACCCTCAAAGTACATGTGACAAAAAAACATTTGTTTTTGGAGAGGCATCGCTATGACCTACCCTAATTAATCTTCTTAATATATTGACCAGAAGGTTGTTGCATGCTATGTGTGATTCACAACCATTTCAGCAGAGCTGGACCATAGGAATTTCATATTCATGAAGTCAAAAGAATGAAGATTGAAATGCAAGACACTAAAACCACTCACAATCCGTGGAAAGGCAGCTCGTAGCACGGTAAGTCTCCGTTCACCACCATATATCTCACCAGATGCAATGTATATCTGTGTTCCGTTGTCAAAACCAAATGCTTGCAGAACTAATGCCGCCTCCTCTGGAGTAAGAGGACACAGACCTTGTGCTCTCCTTTCTTCGGACACTATCTCTTTCTCCCTCCACCAAGGGAATGCATATCTGAACCAAAAGTATTTATCATCAAACAGTTTCACCTAAGAAATGACACCAGAAATCACTTCTGATAATAGAATTCGTTAATTGAGTAAAATGGGCCTATAGAAAACTCAAATAAGTAAATCCTGTTAGAATTAATCAATGAGAATAGAGAAGAGAAAGGAAGAATAGATTATTCATTTAGGAAGTCTATAATGCACAGCTTAACCTAGAAATACACAAAGTAACCCTTATATAGTAGGGCAACACAACATAAAGAAAATGCCTAAACTATCCTTATTATGAATACTCTAACACCCCCTCTCAAATTCATGATGTGGTAGAAAACATCAAGAATTTGTCAAGAAGGAATCTAAAACGTGCAATGGTATGAGACTTCGTAAAAAAATCCGTCATCTGCATCGTGGAAGGAAGAAAGGGGAGAGTGATGGTGCCTTGCTGCAGATGATGACGCACAAAGTGACAATCAATCTCAATGTATTTTGTGCGTTCATGGAAGACTGAATTATGAGCAATCTGAATAGCACTGGTGTTGTCGCAGAACATAGGAGTAGGGGATGATACCGAAATGCCAAGATCAACAAGGAGCCATCGTAACCAAAATATCTCAGCTGTAGTAGATGCCATAACACGACACTCAGCTTCAGCAGAAGAACGAGCAACAACAGTTTGTTTCTTGCTTTTCCAGGAAAAAAGAGAATCCCCAAGAAACAGTCAAAAATTAGTGGTGGACTTGCCATCCATAGAGTTACCAACCCAGTCAGCATCAGAGTAAGCACTGAGTTCCATATATGAAGAGTGAGGAAAGAGTAAACTCTGATATAGAGTACCACAGAGATACCGAAGAATGCGAAGAACAGCAACCCAGTGAACGATGGTGGGTGAGGCAACAAATTGACTCACAATGTGAACAACATAAGAGATATCCGGACAAGTGACTGTAAGATATACTAAACTCCCAACAATAATTCAATAGAGGGTTGGGTCAGATAAGAGAGTACCGTCAGACAAAGAGTAACGAACATTGAGCTCTAAAGGTGTCTCAACTGTCTGATTATCTGATAAACGAGCTTGTTCAATAACATCTGAAGTATACTTGGATTGAGAGAGAAGATATCCTTTAGGAGAGGAAGCAATCTCAATACCCAAGAAATATCTAAGCTGTCCCAAATCTTTCATCTAAAAATGATCCTGCAACTGGGTTTTCAATAAGCAGATGTCAAGCAATGTCATCACCCGTAATAATCATATCATCAACATATAGTAAGAGAATAATAGAACCTGAGGAAGTAGACCGTAAAAAAGAGCAGAATCATGGTCACTGGCATGAAAACTCAAGTCACAGATAACCGAAAAAAATTTGGCAAACCATGCTCTGGGAGCCTATTTAAGACCATATAAGGCACAATGAAGGCAACATACTTGTCCAAAACTATAAGATAATCCAGGGGGATGTGTCATAAAAACCTTTTCAGTCAAGTCTCCATGTAGAAATGCATTTTTCACATCCATTTGAGACAAACTCCATTGTCGAATGGCAGCAACTACAATCATGGTGCGAACAGTAGTCATCTTGGCAACATGAGCAAAAGTCTTATCATAATCTAGACCATATTCCTGAGCAAACCCTTGGGTTACTAATCGAGCTTTATATCGTTCCACTGAACCATTTGACTTGGTTTTTATCTTATAAACCCACTTACAACCAATGATGCGTTTACCAGGCGATAAGGACACTAGCTCCCAGGCTCTGGTCTTATGTAAGGCAGACAACTCCTCATCTATAGCCTATTACTAAAGTGGATCAAGTAATGCCTCCTTGTAGGAGGAGGGTTCAGATAGAGAATGAATAGAAGGAAAGAACAAAAGTCAAAAGAATAACAAATATTACTCCAACCAAACCTGTCTGGACATTTGCGAGAGCACTGAGGATAGCGTGGGGTATGATCCACAGTGTCTGAACTGATTGGGCGGCCGGAGAAGAAAGGGGAGGCACTACATCCGGAGAGGAGATAACTGGAGTCCTGCGAACATATGTATGCACAATAGGGGGACGAGTAATAGTTGACTCAGAAGATGAAGGATCTGACACGGGTATATCACCAACATATGTATCATGAGGAACATTGGTAGGAAAGGGATCAATGTATAGCAAGTCAGACATATTCAATGAGGAAGAGCTAGATGGAATTGAGAAGAAGGGAATATGCTCCATAAAAATAACATGACGAGAGACAAAGTTTGCGGGTGATGGGATCAAAGCAACGATACCCTTTTTGACCCTCACCATAACCAAGAAATACACATAAAGCTGAACGGGCAAAAAATTTGGTACGAAGAACACTAGGAAGTAAAACAAAACAGGTACAACCAAACACACGTAAAGAAAAATAGTTAGGTGGCTTACCACATAACTTTTCAAATGGAGAGACTCCAGAGGTGAGCATAGTAGGAATGGTGTTGATCAAATGAACTGCTGTCAAAACTGCTTCCCCCCAAAATGAGCTGAGAACATGTGCTGATAAAAGAAGGGAACGTGTTGTCTCTAGAATATGACAGTGTTTTCGTTCGGCAACACCATTCTGCTCAGGTGTGTCAGTGCAAGAAGACTGATAAAGTGTACCATCAGATTTCAAAAGATCATGAAAAGAAGTAAGAGTATATTCACCGCCCTGATCACATCGAAACATTTAATGACTGCGGAATATTGAGTGCGTACCATGTTATAAAAGGTAGTGAAGATAGAAAATAATTCAGACCGACGTTTCATCAAGAATACCCAACAGTACCGTGTGTAATCATCAATAAATGAAATATAATATTTGGACCCTCCTTGTGTAGGAATAGGAGTCGATCCCCATATATCAGAGTGAACAAGATCAAATGGTGCAAGAGAAAAAGTAACCCTTTTATTAAATGGCAATGCACTAAATTTAGCCAACTTACATCCACTACAATCAGAAATGTCATGGCTTTCTAAACTACCCAAACTCCCAATCGAAGCTAAAAATTTTAAACGAGAATAAGAAATATGACCAAGACAAGAATGCCATAAATAAAAACTAGATGATTCTGGACTCAAACGAAAAGAAGATAAATCAACAGTAGAAGCAGCAGCATCAGCAACGGGGACATGCAGCTCCTCCAACACATATAACCCGCCCTGTCTACGGCCAGTCCCAATCAGCTTCTTGGACCGTGGATCCTGCACAACACAACCAGAGGAAGAGAAATGAACCAAAGTCCAGAATCAAATAGTTGACTGACTGAAAGTAAATTCAAAATAAGTTGAGGAATATAATAGACATCGAAAAGTGTAATGTTGGAAGAAATAATTATCCCAACACCAGCTAATGACATGTGAGAACCATTGGCAGCAAGGACAGATAAAGAGGACGAAGAAACAATAGATGCAAACAAAGAGGAGTCACTGGTCATATGATGTGTTGCACCTGAGTCAAAGACCCAGGCAGTTCGAAAAATACCTGAAGGACCTGAGCTGAAGAACCTATAGTGAGAGAAACTGTGAGAGCACCAGGCTGATGAAGAGAAAGAAACTTCTGTAGCTGATCTGCAAGCATAATCAGGTTGAGAGCTGATGAAGTTGACTCATCCACTGGTGGTGCTACGGCCGCTGTATGACAATCTCTGGACCTAAATGACTGATTTTGAGATCCTCGCGCATTCTTGTTCATCAACTTTGGACATTGGGCCTTCTAGTGGCCCTTTTCACGACAGAAGCTACACTCATCAGAAATAACTCGACCTCAATATTTGTTTTGGGAATTAGAGACCACTTTGGAAGGAACAGCCAAGACAGTCTGATTTGGTAATAGAAGAAGACCCTTTCCAGAAAGGGTTTAAGACGAACCTCTTCAGCTAAGAGCTCATTAACAACTGCATCCACTGAGGGGAGTGGATGATGATGAAGAATAGAACCACGAAGTCCCTCGAAGTCATCCTTGTTGGAGATATAGCAACAGTCTAGTTTATTAGGGCTTATTAAGTTTTCTCTTTTTACCTTCTTATCCTTATTGTAACTTTCATTGGCTATATATATATGGGGCTCTACATTTAATTTATATCCCTTATTCTCTCAAATACATCAAGTTGGTATCAGAGCCACAACCCTAACCCTAGCCTCCACCACCTTCCCATAGCTAGCATCAACAGAAAGCTAGCCCACTACCGACGACAAAACCAGAAACCGAAAGCCAAACACACTGTCTCCTCACCTAGAACATACCCAAGCACCCAACACTGAGAACATACCCACCGACTGCCCAAACCTCATCAAATCAAA